TTTGTGCTGTCCGAATTTTGTTGAAATAGGGGGATGAATTCCGGTAGCATTAGAACAAATTTAAGCATTAATTCATGTAGAAATTATCTTGATTGGCTACTGTTTTTGTCTGGAACTATCTGCTGTTTGTGTCCAGAAATTGTACTTGTTGTGGTGTAGAATTTTGCTGCGTTTTCTGCAAATACACTACTATTTTTCTCTGCAGTTTGTTGCTGTTTTTACTGCTGTTTACTAGAAAATCCTGCTGTTTTTCCCATAAAATTTTACTGTTCATGCAGGAAATTATGTTGTTTTGTTGTTGCATTTTTCTGCAAAATTTCTGTTGTGTTTTCTGCATTTGCTGCTATCTTTCTGCAAATTGTTGCAGCATTTTTCTGCATATTCCTTACATTTTCCTGCACTGTTATAACCCTAAAAAGTTCTACATTTTCCTGCACTGTTTTTAAGCCAAAAAAAAAAATTATGTATTTTCTCCAAGAAAATTTTGCATTTTTACTGCATTTTTCCTTGCTATTTTCTGCATTATTTTTCCTTAAGATTTTTCTGCTCCTTGCCAAATTTCTGGAAGTTGCAATTACTGTTCACCGCATAATTATTGTTCATGGGTACTGTTCATACACTGAATTTCAATTATTTGGAGTAGAAAATCTCATGGAATATGTGAGTTATACATGTTGATATAAATGGTGTCATGATTAGGGGGTAGTCATGGTGGTGATCTCTTTTGGATCCATGGTAGTATGGTTATTAATTCTGGAATGTTTTGGTTAGGTTCTTGATTATTCTATCACCCTAGCACTTAGAGTGAGTTTTCTGTGTTATGCGATTGAGGTAAGTAAATTATGGTAACGCTCTCGATTTTAAAGCACATTTTAGCTTGTTTTTGAAGTGGTGACGAGACTAAACCCGTTTTACATAAGTATGATTGATTTGAAATGAAATTATTATTCTTTTTATTGATTTGAGCATGCCTTCTTAGAGTTTACTTAACTGCCTTGAT